AATGCATCACTCTATAGTAGTACAGCCCTTTTGGGGTGATAAATGCAGTCTTATCCTCATCAAGGGAATACATTGTTATCTGGTGGTATGTCGTATAAGCATCCAGGAAGCTCATCCTTCCATGCCCTGAAGTGCCATCCACTAGCTGATCAATTTTAGGTAAAGGGAAATTGTCTTTGGGGCAAGCCTTATTCAAGCTGGTGAAGTCCACGCAGACCCTCCACTTGTCGTTCTTCTTTTTCACTACCACGGTGTTAGATAGCCAAGTAGGGTAGTTCACCTCATGAATGGCTTTGGCTTCTAGCAGTTTGTCTACTTCTTCCTCAACTGCCTCAACATGCATTAATGTTGGCCTCCTCGCTCACTGGATAACAGGTTTAGCCGACCTGTCAATATTGAGCATATAGCATGCGACCTTGGGGTCAATGCCTGGCATCTCATATGGCGTCCAGGAAAATACTTCTATGTGGGCCCGTAAGAAAGTCACTAAGTCTCTCTCTTCCTTCTCAGCTAGGCCTGAGCCGAGAAGGAAGAAGCGCTCTTCTTTTACCAGAATCTTCTTCAAGGCTTCCTCATTCTTGTCAGCCGGCTCTTTGCCGATGTCATCCAGGACCTGCATGTCCTCGTCTTCAATTTCTGTTGTTTCTATCTCTCGCACATTGCAGTTGGATTTCATTGCTGTGATGGACCAATTTTTTGCCTACACTTAATCCCCTCTAACCTCTTCAATTCCATGCTCCGTTGGGAACCGCAACAACTGGTGCAGCGTTGAGGGAACAACCCTCATTGCATGCAACCATGGCCTTCCCAAAATAACATTGTAAAGAGAAGGGGTGTCAATTACTATAAACTCTATGCTTACGTTCCTAATGCCTGCCTGTACCTCCAAATTTATTGCTCCCAGAGGCCATGTCCGCGTTCCATTGAACCCAACCATTGGGCTATTGGACTACTCCAAATCATCGCAGTGAAAGCCAAGCTCCTTGTAACATCTGATATACATGATGTCACAAGAGCTGCCTTGGTCGATCAGAATGCGCCTTACCTAGTATTCTCCCACCTTGAGAGCCACCACCAGAGCATAGTTGTATGGATGTTTCACCATGTCTAGGTCTGCCTCAATAAAGTACACCATCGGTCCCTGTTACTCGTTTGTCCTAGGCCTCTTTTGCTGGACCTGACACACATATTGTAAGTGTTTCATCTTCTGGCTCTCTCCTCGTATATCATTCTCATTAACCTTTGAATGGATCACATTGATCACCCGAGGTTCTGCTTGTTATGGTTGTGGCAGAGGTAGTGCTGCCGATGCTTAGGGCAGTCTCACCTGCTCTTCGCTCATTCTGGCCTCATCTACTAAGTCCCTCAAGTGACCCTGTTTGACCAAATCTTCCAAATGCGTCTTCAGGGCTCTGCACCCCTGAGTCAAGTGCCCATCCTCATTGTGGTAAGCACAATGCTTCCCAAGGCTTCTCCCTATAAACTCGCCAGGAATCTTCTCCGGCGCTCTATAATACAGCTAGTTCCTGATCCTTTCTAGAACTTTATAAATCGAGATCTGGAACACAGTGGTGAATGCCTGTGGAGCCCTCAACCCTGATTCTTGCCTGTTAAATCCAGTATTACCTTAGCCTCTCTTCGGCGAGCCATTTCTCTTCCCTATTTCGACGCCTTTGTTCCCGGCGTATCCTCTTCTGCTCCGACATATTTTTCAATCTTTGCCATGAGCTCCTCCATACTCTTTGGTAGAGTCTTTGCCAACTACTTCCGAAGCGTGCAATCATCCTCCAGGTCGTTCTTAGAAGACACGATCGCCAATTTCTGGTTGCATCCTGGTATTCGGTTGAACACCTCATAATACCTTTTGGCATAAGCCCTGAGGCCTTCACCCTCGCCAATTTTCAGAGCCATCAGGGAGTCTACCCTTAGTGGTTGCAACTTGTATGTAACGAACCTGGCCACAAACATCTCAGCCAGGCCTTCCTAACTCTTCACAGTTCCTTTCGGTAACTTGTGAAACTAGTCCGATATAATTTCCCCAAAGGATGAGGGGAACACCTTGCACAACAACGGTTCGTTCCTGATATACAAAGTCATTGAATTCAGATATAAACCGACGTGAAAGTTCGAATTGGACTTACCGTCATAAATTTGGAACCTCAGCATGTGGAACCTTTTTGGGGCCTCAAACCTATCCAGCTCTACGGAGAACGGCGTTCTCAGCTTGACAAGGGAACCGGAGATGTGACCTCGGCAATCTATCGCTTCCTCTAGAGGTAGTCCCTCAAATCCTCCTTAGTCTAACTAGAAGCTCGGCTGTCAACAGATTTCAGTCTTTTTGGTGCGCTACTCCCAACGTCGCTGTGTATCCTTTTTTACTTTTCTTCATTCACCGTGTCAAAACACAGGCCTTTCCCTTAGATATTCCAAGGTTCTTTCATATATGTTCCCCTCGTACGAGGTGTCTTCTCCGAGTCACCTTTGACCGACTCTCCTCGTCCGACTTCTCGTGAAGGCCGATGTGAGTGCTCCATTTCTTTGCCATGCTGCGGGATTGCTGGGATTGTTTTCTGCCCCCTTTTCTGGGCATTACTCTTGGCCCCTAGTATCGGCATGTCTTGCAATGGGAACAGTGGTTGCATGACATTGTTCTGCATCATAAAGTTGACAACCGATTGTAGATCCGACAACTTGTTAGTTATTCCCTTCGTCTCGCCGTCCCTCCTCAAGCATCTGTCCTTCCATATCTGGAGGTCGCTCTCGTTATAATACTCATCTCGACCTAATTTCTGCAGGGTGTTACCCTCATTGCCGACGTCCTTCTACACGATATTCGGATCCTGTGCTCCTTCATTATGGTTTTCTTCTTCGGTATTAGAATCGGCATGTTTACCACTCCCATATGGGACATTGTCCCCGATCTTTTCTTTCTACCCGTCGTTGGCCATCTATTCTCCTTACGTTCCCACAAATGATACCAAATTGTGGGTGTTGATTTCCGACCACACAACCAACGGGGAACGTAGCTAGAGAGCACCGGCAGAATAGATTAAGCCCGAACAACCTGCCACAAAAAGATAAGAATCCAACGGTGGTTCATCCACCCGGGGGCACTCCGATACTCAAGTCAGTAATCAAATATCTCTCAAAGATAACAAATTGTGCTTAACTCACAAAAAAACACTTACTACTTACAATGTATCACACATCCCTCAAACCCACGAGGGTGTCCTGCTTTATAGCCAGTACTGACGTGATCCATGTAGAAGTCTCACTTTAGTGGACTCAGGCTCAATGCTCAACCTAGAATCTCAACTAGATAGGGATACACTCCCTAAGAGCTCTATCTCTATCCAGACTGAGATCCTCCCATCTTCTAGGAATCTTGTCCCTTATCTGCTCATCTCAGCATCAGGACTATATCACGTGGCACCTCGGTTGACATTTCGACTTCACATTGGCCACGTGCTACCATTCACAAAATACTTCCCCTCAACATACAATAAAATAATCACATAATTGACCACATAAGATCCTTTCACAACATCTTTCAAAATTAGATATGACCTCAATTGATACTACCACGAAAGCTTTCTTCAAAAGTTCAATTTCTTTGATGTTTTACTCCAATACATTCTAAATCTGTTAGAAAAATTAGAAATCAGTGAACAATAAAAGAATATTTGTATTTTCATAAATTTTTTGTGTGCATGTGCATGTCGTTTATGTGTTTGGTATGCACTAGAAAATATTTCATTTATAACACAATTATTTTTTATTGTGTCACTGATTTATAATTTTTTCAAAATCTTTTTGTATTATGAAACAAAAGGTTATCCTAGAATGAGTTAGGGTTTTTGACAAGTGCTCATAGTAGGCTTTAAATTTCTCTCTAATAGACAATTCCAGATACACCAGAAGATTCCCATCTGATCCAATTCAATTGCCTAGTTTATTTTGGGGAAGTGATTGGTTGCCCATTTATTTATGTTATGTTTTTTGTGTCCAAAGGCATATCTTTAGCTTTGATATAAAGTAACCAACTGATTGAGACTGTTGGGGTAGTAGTAGCTCCCTCAGTATTCTCTAGCCACAAGTCTCTATGTTTGTGGTGGATTGATTTTGCATCAAAATCAAATATCTATAATATTGTCCTCATGGATTGGAATGTGCACATACTACAATTGGCCTTCCCATGTGCAAATTGAAGAAGGCTGTATTAGGTATACAAAAAATTAATCCAAAATAAGTGAATAGATCTCATCCACACGCCAATTTTTTAGATTAATTTATGGTCTTAATTTTTGAATTTATAGACTTACGGAATGAAGCATCATAAAAATTTTCGTAACTTTACAAAAGAATCATATGAATTGATACAAATTATAACACGCATTTCAAAAGAGAATGACACAATTAAACACCATCTCAAAAACAACGTTTTAAGGATGAGCAATTTTTGTGTGCTAAGAGGGTATGTGTCACTTGGTACTTACTTTTCTAATCTCTCATTGATATAAAAGAGTGAGGTCCACAAATTTACCTTGGGTAATATAAGAGATAATATAAGAAGCATAATATTTGTGATTGATTAAAAGTATCACGTGATAACCTCTTTAACATTTGAGGTCGTAACCTCACGATTCTTACTCATACCATGACAACATATTTTACTTGCACTTGCACTCGCACTCTATATTAGTACATCTGAGGTCGTAACCTCACAATTTTTACTCGCACCATGACAATCTATATTAGTACATTTGTGGTTGTAACCTCAACTCTTACTTGCGCCACGACAACATATCCTAGTAGCACTCTATTAGTACATTAAAAGCCCTAACTTGGAAGAGGAAAGCTTTGTCTGTTATAAGACTTAAACACTTGACCTTTACTGATTTTAGGCATGAGGATACTAGTGCACAAAAAAAGGTGGTGTCAAATGTATAGTGGAAATGGGAGATGATATTTCACACATGCTGAAATTGAGAGCAAACACATGAAAATCCAAATGAAGTCACAAGTGTTTCTGAAAGCAAATTGTTAGTGTGTCATAAAATGGAAATTGTCATACGTGAATACCACAAACAGGTCAAGCAAACCCACCCCAGAGCAACAACAAACAACAAAAACATACAATTCACAATTCACAATTCACAACTTACAACTTACAAATCAAACATGGAATCAGTCAGGTCCGGACATCGTCAACCTTATTCCTTCACCGCCACGCTTCAATCCGCTGTGTTCTTGAATTTATTCTGCTCAAATTGCTGATTTCCTTACTCTTCTCGGAAAGTCCCATTACCTGAAGCACGGTTTGCTGCCCAATTCCAAGACCCTTGCCAAGATTTGAAACACTTGATTGGCCACTACTCTTTAAACCATTGATCAATTTTGCTTCTATTTCATTAACGACAGTGTCGATCTGAATGGGAGTTTCACAATCTTCAAAGGATTCACCAACAGATGTCGAATCACTATGCGCCTCTCCATCGGTTAGGTTATCGAGTTCGTTAGAGTCGGAAGCACTTTCAAGAGCGGGCTCTTGAGCAATGAAGGATGGCTCCAAATCGTCATTTTCTTGGGCAGAATCTTCTAGAAAAGGCTGCGAAGGGCTGTGGTGTCCATTTTCATCAGAAGGCTCCAAGTGAGAAACACGAGCTGGTTCGACCAAGGAATCTTCTCTGTCGCGCAAGGTTTTCACAATCAGTGACTTGAGAAAGTTCATCACTTGGACCGCGTACATCAATGCGGTCAATGGATCTGCCATCTGCAACCCAAAATTAACACACAAAGATCTAATAAAAAGAACAATTGGATGGGAGATACGCATTGCCATTGTATTTTCTCAATAATCAAGGAGAATAAATGGTATGAAGAGTTGAGAAATTATTTGATCGAATAAGAAATTTTAAAAATCTAGAAGATTTAAATCATATGAAGTACTATTTAGGATGCTGTCAAACTTAAAACACCTGTCAACATGTACTCAGAGAGCCACCCCCAGCCAATCAACTTTTTCTTTATTTTTATTTTTTTTCAACTTAGGTGTTGAACGACCTATGGCGCCCTTCATTTTATTGGTTAAAAATGTAAGAATGGACCCCTGTTCTATAATCTTTTTCCCCTCATTACTAAAAGATGGAAAAACAAAGAAAATATCTACATTTTTTCCCCTCTATTTTCCATTTGCTTTTCTGGAGATATATTTGGGAGAACTTTTTTATAAGAGCTCAAACAATTTCAGATTGATTAAAATGCAACGGAAACACAATGGTCTTAATAACAAATACTACATAAAATACAATCAGACTGATCAAATTCTATTAATTATCCATTACCAAAAAACAAAGGAAAAAAATAAAAAGAAGATACGTATTCACACTAAAAATCTACTCAAACTCACCTGTGTCATGTTTGGTGCAAAAACCATTGCAATGTTGCGTGCATTCATTTTGTTCAGATGTTCCTGTTGGACAACATCAGCCATGAGGTTGATCGCCCAATCCAGCAGAGCAGTCTCCGTTGGGGGCAGGCGCCTCACAAGAGCAGTACAATCTTCCTCAGACTCGCACTGCATTACCTGCTCAGGTGACAGCGAATCCAATACCCCAGTTGGAAGCTCTCTAAACCAAGCCTATGGATCAAATAACCGATGTCAATGTTAACTGCCATAAGAAATTAAGCAAATAATTTTATTTAAAATGTAAATGGCAGTTCCTCCTCACAGGCAGACAACAATTTTCGATTCCTTCTTTTTTCTTTTTTTTTTTTGGTGCATATGCTCATGGATGCTCATTTTAGAGCATATCCATTCATAACCTAATCTTGTTTGAGATGTTTTTCTTGTCATTAGCAACATTACTAATCCAAAACTAGGATTGCTAGGGAAATTCCAATGAGGACCATGAAACAAAATTTGGGAAGAAGATAGGATAGTGTACTACTTGGTATTAGGATTCTTGCTGAACCTCATGAATCAATGGCTACATATTTGGGCACCAGTCTCAGGTCAATAATAGGTGCTGCACACTCGGATGGACATGGGACACAGTGATTCCACCCCCCCCCCCCCAAAAAAAAAAAAAATCCAGTGTATGGACAAGGCGGGGGGATATGAAAAAATATATTTTTATTTGCTCTGCATATAACTATTACATCCGTAAACAACTGTGTTTATATCGCTGTGTTTAATTTGTGGTGCAATTTTTTTTGGCAAGGTTCATAATTTCCCTATTATTGTGTTTTATACTTCTTGATTACATTAAAGCTTTTGTCATTTCTACTACCACCACAGTAAGAGCTCCACGATTACATTAACAGCCTACATTAATATATGGGTCCAAGTTTTTCATGAAGCAGAGCAGATAACCCCTATAAATAATTACTTAGAGACACTCCATTGTGGATTCTTCACCTGTTGACACCCACAGTGCATTTACATCCACATACGTAAACCAAGCAGTCATTTAGTATAAAAGAAATGCAATTTATGCTGATGTGCCTAGCTAAGTATCAACCATTGACACCTAAATTATCTAGTCATGATGATCTAATTTCAACACAACATACCATTTCATGGTTTTTAAAACTCCAGAACATAAGTAGGAGTACCCCGATTAAGTTCATGGATCTTCACTTCTAATCTAATAAAGCATAATGCTAGCTCAAACACCAAAAGTAAAGGATTAAATTACCAATTTATCCATATCAGGCATTAAAAGGAAGCCTGTTTGTTGTTAAAAGCACATCAGCTTCAAAATTACAATTTCTGCTTAATAAATTGTTAAACTAGGAGTAACTAACTTTTGTCCCCAAAAATTTTCAAATGGAAATCTCCTATTTACAGAACAGAGAAATGCTAGTGACCCCAAATTTTAAACCCACAAATTCACCCACGATGATGTGGCAAGAGAGTTGGGCCTATGTACTTGATTGTGTGACAAATCAATAGTGGACACCTACTATGACAAATCATTGTGGGTCATACTGGGGGAGCATTTTTTGGAGTGTCAAACATTTTCCTAATAGTAGGGCCACATGTATGAGGGCAACCATTTTGTGCAAATAAAAGCTTGATTGGATCAGCTCTTTTGTTCAGTAATAAGGTCTTCAGAAACTATTGCGTACTTAGTAGATGCAGCAAATGACACCAATAGTTGTTAAAAATAATGAGGTAGCAGCAGCTGCAATAGCAACAGCACAGTAGTGGTGCTGGTGGTAGCGGTGGAATAAATTGATCAATGCCAAACAGGAAAAGTACACTATTGCCTATTGGTGTCGGATTCTCGTTTTGGCAGAGGTATGGGCATCCAGAGCAGTTAGGTCATTGAAATACTCAAAATGAAAAGTTGTGGGCCTTGTGACAAAGTTAGAAGAGAGGTGTTGGCAGCAGAGTGGGAGCAGAGAGTTGATGTTATTATTCACTGTAATGAGGAAACAAGAATGCAATATGTGTTGGATCCTCCAACCTTTTACAATGTTTGAAGAATAAGAAACTCACACTTGCTAGAAGCAAAACATTTATAACCTCTAACATAGATGAGAGAAAAAAAAAAATCACATTTTTCACTAAAGCTAATTCAATTTCAAATATATTTCTACATAGTTTATAACATCTTATCTAAGAATGTTATATAATATGTAATATATATCTATTCATAATGAGTCCCTGTACCCATATCCTATTTTGAATACATATTCCGATATCCTAAGATTTAAGTTTATGAGGATCTGACGCTTGGGAGACACACCCGTACCCGATACTCATACCTGAGTCCATGTAACATTGGGTGCTAGCATAGAGTCTGCTATAATCTCATTACATATAAGTCAGATGATTAGTATCCAATACAATCCAAGAATGCATGTACCAAACACCGTTACTTTTTTTTTATTATTTAAAAAGCCATTACCCAGTATCTAAGAAGTATGACAATTCAAGAGACGAGCCATGCATATCGGACAAGTGTTGGACACAAACACTTCTTGGACACCAGTAGAAATGTGTCTACGCTTCAACATGTCCTAAACTAGAAATGAAATCCTAAACTAGAAATAAAATTTCACAATTTTGGACACATTGTCGGCAACACTTCCGGAACCAATTCAAACACGACCTATGTGGTGAAAGTAATAGTAGCAATGTTCAACATTGTTGAGAACACAACTTACACACCCCAAAGGTGTCGTGAATTAATTTTAAAACAAATACATCATGCACATGAGTGTACATATATTGTCAGAAATTTGGTCAAATTTTTGGTTATATAAAATTTTGTGTCCAGTGTTTTATTTTGCTTCATTAGTGATGGGCACCAAGACCTCCAAATGTTCTTTTTTTTTTTTTTTTGGTTGCAAAGAAGAATCAAATGAGAAAGAAGAAGACAACAAGCGCAAAAACTTCTTTCTATAGATAAGTAGCAATTTTTTCCAAAGCCACATGAGGGTACATTGGCTATTTTTAAATGGTGTGAAGCGTATCTGTCACGAGAATAATTCTTAACCTATTGAGTACTATTAGTTAGAAGACTGAAATATTCAGATAATAATAATGTACCAACACACCAATAGTTTTCATTTGTCATACTTTGCTATTGCACTGCATTTATACAAAAATTCCTTCTTCCACAACTAAATTGTCCATTTTTGCGTATTGATCTCGTAACCACAAATTATTAGTCAAGATACATCATACGTACACAACCACAATGACAATATTGGTCTTTCTCATCAAATTCTATACATCATTGCTTCAAAATTTGTTTTCTTTTTTCTTTTAGCTGTTGCCCTCCAAGTACTACCTAAATTTCCATTTGCTCGACCTAAATTTCTACATACAAGTACAAAATATGAATATCACACCAAGAATTTTTGTTTTAGTTTTCAATTTTTTTCTGATATTTTTTAAAACATCATGGTTATTGGAGAAAGGGAGATGAGCAGGTCCACCACAGACGGGGTAAGTTGAACCCCCAACCTACGGGTCATAATGGTTCACCATTTCAACCCTCCACATAATACCATTTAAAAACAAAAAATCAACAGTTACGCCATATTACTATGCAAGAAAACTTAATGCACATTGACAATCAAACTATAGATTATCAATATGACTTTAGTGTGAAGTGAAGTCAGATATAGCCCGAGTACTAAATTAATGTTAAGCATATAAGTGTGAAGTCACCCTCACCTCAATAGCTAGCTTTTGGGGTTCAGTTCTACTCAAGACCGTGTAACATGGTATTATAGCCAAATCACTCAGGGATGGGTAAGGCGCATGTCCTGGCTTGCACACTACAGGTGCTGCCGAGTGAGCACGTTGAGCGTGAGGGAGAGTATGAAACGAAGTCCCACATCGCCCAAGTATTAAAGTAATGTTAAGCATGTAAGTGTGAGAGCATCCTCACCTCAATAGCTAGCTTGTGGGGTTGAGTTCTACCCAAGACCGCTCACCTCAATAGCTAGTTTTTGGGGTTGAGTTTTACCCAAAACCGTGTAACATTGAGCACACAAAGAACAAAAAGAAGAGGTGTCGGTTTTAAGTCCAGGTTAAGACATCGGTGTGCATCTATGACAATAATAATTAATAAAAAGGCCCCATAATCAATAAAAAAAATTTATCTGCATTTTTATTTGTACAAGTATTTCACATTTATGATCAAATATGAAGATTGACCTGCTACTTATTATTTTCGGGTCTGATAGATTCTATTTTTCTCTTTCTTTGACGGAAGGTAAAGGCCAATCTTATTGTAAAGCTGTATGCAATGCAAAAAAGATGCCCCGTATGGTCAGTGCACTGGATATTTCCAAAAACAGACAACCTTATTCTTAACAAAAGCATTTCTCTATCTTTTCTTAGATTTTTCAACATTGTAACTATAAAGGTTATCATGTTTCCCCTAGATGGATAGATAAAAGTTACTTGCAGAAGTCAAATTCTAACAAAGAAACTAAAGGCGAGTTGTGATGAATACATGGATATTCAGCGTCCTATAGGCCACTATAAGCATGTGACAAAAACACATATTTAAGAAAAGAATCAAGTGAATAAAAATGTAGGCCCAGTTTAGTCTCCATTGGATAAGGGTCTGAGGGGTAGATTGGGTGCAGACCTAACCTTTTTGACATAATATGAACAAAGTGATTACCCTCAAATTCGAACCCACAACTTGAAGGTTGATAGGCCTGTTTTAACCACAGAACCAGTGGTTTGAGTTTTAATCAAGCGAATCATATTGCAAATCTATACCTTGATAAGACCCGCTAAACAGTGTACATCAATGCCTTGGGGAACCACTCCACTGTTTAGTTGGTCCCGGACATATTCCTCCTGGCTGTTTTCTGCATTTATTCTGAAAATCCCTTCAGCCTGTCATGTAAATTCAGTAGTTCAGTCAACAAAGTCTACAGGGCTACTGAACTCTATAAACAAATTACAGGCAAAAATAAGGCCAGTCAACAAGCTTTTTAACCCAACAATGCACAGTTGCCACACTAATCATATCCTAGAGTTTTCAATATGCAATTTCATGATAAAAGGTTTCTGATTTATCATGCACCTGTAGGCCTCCTTGAGCATACAAATGTCTTTGCATCAACAGGAGTATTGTTGGCACGCTGTTACCTCTGGGATCATATGATAACTGCATGGATTCTGTGGAAACTCCAAAAACAGTGGCGCTACAAATGGAAATCGTAAATCAAAATATTGGAATAAAAACAATTGCAAATGGAATCATGAAATTAAAATAGCCACTTAACTTTCAACAAGATAGAGTAAAAACATATGTTACAACTTATGATTTCCAATCTTTAGAAGCTCCAAGGAAGCAAGTCACATAAACACAATATGTCTTGATTACTGCACAAACTCAAACAATTGCAGGTTTTGCAGGATTGCCTGAACAAGTTTCCCAAGTTTTATCAGAATTAATGTGCAGTTGTTCACTAATCCACTTTCATGGGATATAAATTTAATGAGAGTACAAATATAATTTTATGGGTAAATTACAAACACACCCCCTGAGGTTTACTTAAATTACAAATTACCCCCTGTGGTTCTAGAAATTACATTATGCCCCCTAAGGTTTCTAATTTCATAACAAATAGGTCTTTTTATTAATAAATTATCAAGTTAATTAACAGTTTTTAATAATGTTAAAATTTTATTTCAATTAATAATTCAGATAATTTTATTATTGTATAAGTGAACCGTTAGGAATTTCACTTTTTCAATTAATTCTGTTTAATGAAGAACTCTAACAATGAGGTATTTGTAATTTTCCAAACCACAAGGGGCAATTCATATTTTAAGCAAATCTCAAGAGGTATATTTGTAATTTACCCTAATTTTATTTTATTTTCCCTAATTTTATTTTATTTTTTTGATCGGCAACAAACAATATTATTTATTAAAAAGAAAATACAAAATGTGGGAGGAAAAAGAAGTCCACCACTATCAAAAGACATTACACACTACACATGGCTCTCTAATTTCTAGAAATTAAAAATAAAGAAATCCCCTTGAAATAGGAAAAAATTAAGGCCCAAAAAGAAGAGGAGAAGAAAAAAATTCTTCCATAAGCTTTCTAAATCTTCAAATTTCAGTTCAAAGACTCTAAATTCCTTCCCAAACATATGATCCACAAAACCGCACACATACTACACAACCCCATAGAGTCCTAGCTTTATGACTTGAGCCAAAACCTCCAAAATCAATGCAAAGCATGTGAACACAAGAAAAAGGAACCACGCCATCCACTTCTGCCAAATGGAACACCCTCCGCCATAAAGACAATGAGAAAGGGTATAAATAATCAAAAAAGAAGGTACAAAAGTTGGAGGGTAAGAAGTCTGCCAAAAAGTACAAAAAATTACAAATCACATATGGCCCTCCAATCCCAACAAACTCAAGCTTTCTTATGGGTATCAAATCCCCTACAGTCAATCAAAAGCATATATATACAACAGGAAGAAGCCACCCATTTCACATCCACCACATAAAACAAGTTAAGCCACAATGACAAAGCCATATGACAATTCAAAAAGAGGTGCTCAATGCTTTTTCATCCCTTCTACACAAAATCAAAATATACCACTGTGGAAGCAATGAGTAATTGGACTCATTCTTTGAAACAAATCATTCATATTAATCTTACTATGAGTCAAGGACCATAAAAAAACTTTCACTTTAAGAGGAACATAAGCATTACAAATCATTTTACGAGAAGGAAAAAGAAAAAACTATTAATTAACTTATGAAACAAACACTTGCAAACCAGGGAATGAATGAACCACTCTTTTATCAAATGAAACCCTTCTCAAAGAAACATCATGTAGGATAGTTAACAAGGAACCCAAATCACTAGCCTCTCTATCCTTTAGACTTCTTAAAAAAAAAAATGAAAATCCAAGAAATGAGTGCCTCATGGGTGCAAGCAATAGAAACAATAAAAAACTTAAAGACAGTGAAAACGGATACAAGACAAATGATCAAAAAAGACATACTCTATCTAAGGGTTGGTTTGAGGTGTCCTAAAAAAGTGCACTTTTTGTCTTTTTACAAAAAGATGTGCAGAAAAGTAGAGAGGTGATGTGATGGAAAAAAGATAAAAAGATGGATTATATAGTTCATGCCAAACCAACCCTAAATATCCTCCCAAAAATGAATATGCTCCCCATTCGAAACCATAAAGTCAATGAAATGCGAGGAATGGCAGTTCCCTGAAAAATGCACTTCCATGGAGATTTACAATTCCCCTATAAACCTCATGAGAATCCCACCCACTGGGTTAAATTCCTTACTTAATCACAGCATGCCCTAAGGCCTCTCTCGATGGAGAATCTCCATAACCATTTCCCTACTAATAATTTGCTTTTAGTGATCATATTTCCAACAAGACCCTTTTGCTTCTTGGAAGGGACACTTGTTCCCCACTAAATGGTCTCTACTCCTTTCATCAAAACCCTCTCACAAAAAATCCCTCATCAATTGCTCAATTCAATTAGCCATACTCACTGGAACCTTAAATAAAGATAGAAAATAACGAGGAACACTAGCCAAAATTGAAGGAAATTGAAACTCCCTTCCAACCCTCCAATCTTATCAATGATCGCCTCCAAAAATCAACACACATAGGATTACCAACTAAGGCCTCGTTTGGGAACAGACTATTTTAGTAACTTTTTAACTTTTTGGCTAAAATATGAGGTAAAAAAAACTAGTATGTTTGGGATAACTTTTTGACTTTTTACGAAAAGATGTGCAAAAGTAAAGACACTTGTCAAACGAGCCCTAAAAGTAACCACAAATATACTTGAGAGGAAGAGACTCAATGGGACACCCAAACAAATTGGCCAACCTATTTAACCTATTAATGGTGCAACCCTTAATTGTTTAGAGGAGAATAATCCACTTTGTAAGCCTTGGGTGAAGCCCAACGGTTCATTGCATGGAAAGAAAAAATTTGGTCCAATAAATGTAATTGGTAGATATTATTATTATTTAGTTAGAATTTAAGTAATTATTAGTTGGAATATTTTGATTATGATTCCTAATATTATTAGGTTTAGTTTCCTATTTTGAAAAGGGTTAATGACCTAGGCTATAACTATTAGGCTTTGTATAATGTGGCACATTGTCATTCAAAGAACTATGGGGAGTGCACTATAGAGGATCCAAATTCCACATATTGACTCGTTTCTTTTCTTATTATGATTCCAAGTATCACGTAAATTTTCCCTGGCACATAAAACACCACTATCCATATTTAGCCCCTTAAAATTTCCCTCATCCAATTTTAATGCTTCGTCATACAAGCCCCTTTTCCTCCAATATTAACCTCTGATTTTTGTATGTTATTCATCCCTGCTCTTTGTTTTCTTTGCTTCAAATTCAATACCTCCATAGAATGCTCTAATATCTCCTCCATCCCCAAACAAAACCTGATGAAGTAACTTTCCCATATCTAACCACCCTCGCCCCTTAAAACCTGCAGGAACTATTACATTTTATCCTTTTGATCCTCTGATAGACTTCAAAATCTCAATAAAAAAAATCCCTGTTGTTAGAAGATTTATGAACCCAAACCATAAAATTAAAACTTCTATACTTTTTAAAGAAAGAGTTGCCGTTAATGTGTTTGGAAGCCTCTGACAAAGTTTGAATAACAATCCAAAAAACACAACCCAAATCCACCATCAAGGTACGCAACCTTTTTTTGTTTTTACCCTTCCCTATGTGCATGTGTAATTTTCACCATCCCACCTCTTGACACATCATCAAACTATAAACTGAATGCCATATGTTCAATCTTAAAATCTTGAACCCAATTGTCATACACTCTTGTTTCTCGGAAAATCTTTGTGCACCATAGTGATTGCAAGATGAAAAGACACTTCTAAGAAGAAACGAAGAGTTTAGTAGCAAGGACAAAGAAGAAACAGACTTCAACAGCAGGGACATACAAGAAAGAAGAGGAAAAAGATGCAAGAAAGAAGTTGAAAATGAAGAGTCGATTGTCAAAGTAGTAGAAGGAAATACAAAAAGAACAAGAGTAGATGAAAATAAATCAGCTAATAAGAAGGACAAAGGAAATAGAAAGTAGCAAGAGTAATCAAGAAGAAAATATCCATTGGACCTGATGACAAGGGTTTTATTTCTTTTCAGAGTGCTAGAAAATGACACTGATAGTTTTCTAAAAAAACGGAAATACAATCCTAATACTAATCTAAAAGCAGTTTAGGATTACGAGAAAGAATTACAGGTCTTCGTAGCACTTACAAAACAATATATATATAGGCCATCCTAAACAATATTTTAGATTTTTTAGCATTTTAGGGTATGTTTCCTTTTTACATACAAGAAATACAGAAATTTCTTTAAAACCAATCTCAGATTATTTTCAAAAATTCACATAAAGATCAAAAGTCCATGTTGAAGCCAAAAAAAAAAGTACTTCAGAGCACAAACACATTGGGGACTAAATCTTACCATCTATCTATGTGCATGTACGAAATCAAGTTACATTCTAGAGTGCCTGACTGCTGACTATCTCAGAAAATTTCTTTCTTTTTGTAGCTTTTTCTTGACAATAACACAACCACGAAGAAGAGAAATCAAATATTTTATGCATCATTAACTAACATAGGTAAACTCTAGCTTTCATTTGCAAAGTTGTGAAGTAGAAGAATGTCAAAGAAAGCATGGTGGTAATCCTTAAATGACTTGATACCAAGTGATTAGTTCTCAGTTTGTCGCCACTCACCACAACTAATCCCAAAACCAAGGGTGGAGCTACAATGGTAGCAAGTGGAGGCAATTGCTCCCATCAAGTTTCAAAAAATTTCACTTTTATATACAGTTTTAGAAATTCTTTTCAAAATTGCCCAAACGAAATTTTAAAATTGTCCCCACTCAATTTTAAGAAAGATAATTTTTACCTATGGTTTAGAGTTGTTTTGATTTGTCTCATGAAAATCCCCCCACTCATTTTATTTCCCCCTCAGATTTCCATCTCTCTCACTGTCTGCTGTCTGTGCATGTTGGAGATATGCTTTGATTGATTTGGAATAGTTTTGGAGTATAATACATCAAATAGAAAAAATAAAAAAATAAAAATTGTGTATAGGGTTCTATCATCTATGAAAGAGTTTTCCTACTCTGGAATCCTAGCTCTGCCCCTGCCCAAATCCCAAGAAAATATGCATTACTTCTCATCAAATTCATGTAGAATATATGAGTATATATATCTGCTGAACTTGCATTTGCAAAAATAAAACATTAAAAAAAACAAGACACAAAAAAAAAAAAAAAAAACTGAACTCGAGAACTACATATCTTCAAGAGCAACAGACCCAATAGAACATTAGAGACAGAAACCACATTTTTGTAAATCCACCACAAGAGCAAAATCCATCAGCATTTTTTTAAATTCACTTTCTAATGAAAATTATCTAACAAATTAATGTGACGAGATTAACAATACCAACTGAATACTAAATATGTTTAAAACAAAAAGGACCAATTTAGAACCAAAATGCATCTGCATTGTTTCTTGAAAAAGGAAATCACCAACTAACAAAAATAAATAAATAAAATTAAGAATTCATAAATTTGGCTAAGTCATAAAATAAAAAAATTCCATTTCCAAATTCCCATCAACAATGACAGCATTTCCCATAATTCAACAAACAAATCCACCAATTAAATGCAACATAATTTCAAGAAAAAGGGGCAACCCAATTGAATAAAAATCAAGAAAATCAAAAACACATTTTTGAAAATCCACAAGAATGTTAAAATCAACAAGATTTCAATTCCAATGTACCTGGCACTAGGAGCCCTCCTGGGCACTTCAGGCTCGAACTCAACAGGCAAACCCAAGAACCCATGAAACCTATCAAACGTAACATGCGCAACATGGCGCACATTAGTGGGCCACCCGATCTCCATCCCACAAAGCTCTTCTCTATCAGTCTTACAAGCAGCCCAAAATGACTTCCTAAACAGAGTCACAAGAATAGCCAACAAACACAATTGATCTCTATCCTTGTCTCTCTCCTTCACTTCGTCACAGCCCGTAACCCTAGAAACCCCCAGCACCTCCTCTTCCTCTTCCTCCTCGTCTACAGAGGAGTGATGAGTTCGAAACAACGCGTCATTGTGGGTGGGTGAAGAAGAGGGTGCGCACGACAAGGAAGAAGAAGAGGGAGAAGAGGAAGGGGAGGAGTGGAGGACCTCTGTCATGGCTAAAAAGGGTTCCTTTTTTTTTATTATTAGAAAATTATTATTTGAGATTTGTTGGGGAGGGGATTAAAGAAAGAAATATGGCGCGTGGAGTGTTTGGTTGGAGGGAAAAATTGGGGGAAAATTGACTGAGTTGAGAAAGAGGCTGGCGTTGGATTGAAGGAAGGGTAATGGGGTGGGACGTGAGAATCATGAAGTGGGTTTTTGGGGGGGGGATTTGTTGTGTGCACTGTCTCTTGTCTGTGGTTTGATGTGGATCTGTATTGAGCGTTGAAGAAGCAACATAGAGAGAGAGAGAGAGAGAGAGAGAGAGAGGGCTGTAGCGGCCACAGATGTAGAGAGAATGATATGTATGTATCTTTTTCTTTTTTTTGGCCAGCAAGCTGCTTTGCTTTCTTTACCTTGGCTGTGTTTGTTTTTGGGGATAAGTCTGTCACCACGCTGGTTAGAGTTTGACTCTCCATATTGGTCATTCTAATTACACGCAGAGTAGAGTTTGACTCTCCATATTGGTCATTCTAATTACAATCTTAGTTTGGAATAATTTATAAAAATTAAAAAGTCAAAAAATTATAGTGGAAACACCGTGGAATTGAGGAGGTAACATGAGAACGGGAGGCGGAAGTCCGCTTCAAGTACCCGAATTTGTTTATAAATGCTTAAGTTGTTTTCTTTTGTAATATTTCATAGTGTTTGAGAGAAATGTATTAAAATTATTAACCACGTGTTGTTGTGTGTATTGTTGTTTTGAGCATGAGACTACTATGTATTACCATTATTATTGTTGGAAGGTTCCGCGCATATGTTGTATCTCGAAACCGTTGTTGTTACTATCGCGACTAAGGCACTTGGAAGCCATGATGAAAATGGGGAATGTTTGTTGAGAACGGATATTGTGATTTGAAATTGTATTTAGCGTGATTTTGGTCGCTTGAGGCCTCTTTTGTTTGAGGGGTTTGATTTAAATTTCGGGAATGAAATTTCTTATGGTGGAGAGGTTGTGGTGACCAGTTACATTATTCATCACGTTCCTCTTTATTTAATCTTGTGTTTGCCTTTGTTAGAGTGTTGGGTTTAGTCGGGAGTCTTGTTAGCAGTTTGGGTTTGTAGTATTGGAAACTTATTTCAGAATCATTGTTTTTATTCATTTAGTTCTATCTCAAGTTTCACTTGTTCGAATGGTGCGAGGTTGGATCCGAAATGTCTTGAGTTGAAAATTGGAAAATTTTCCTCACTGGAGGGCAGAGCCGCATGTGCGAGGGCTTGGGCTGTATGTGTGGGAGGTGAGGTCGCGCGTGCGCAAAACAGGGGCTGGTCGAGTGCTACACTGCATTATATGCAGGTGTGGAGTGGAGATGCGGGGACAGAGTGTCGCACGTGAGAAAAGGACGCTCTACACGTGCGGGACTCGTTGAGTCTAAAAAATTCTATCTTTTCTCTCTTTGGGACTGAGTATATATCACTTTTTCATTATATCTCTCTCCCTAAAAACCATTTTCTCTCCTTTCTCTCTACATTTCCTACACCAAATTAGATCAAAACCTTAATTTCTTTAAATCTGTTGGATTTTTTACCCTACATCCTTCATTAAAGTTGGAACTTCTCGAGGGTTTCGTTGTGTGCAATGAAGATCGGGTTTCGTCACATTTGGATTTGGGGCTTTCATCTCTTTTCTTCTCTAAAACTTGAGGTAGGGATTTTCTTATATATATTTTTGTAAGATATAATTGGTTTTGAAACCCCTTTTGATAATATTGAAATTTTGATTTTTATTCAAAAATGTGAATAATTTTGAAGGTGGGTTTACTCCTTGTTTCTTTGAAATAATCTCTCGAGGGTTTTGAACTACATTAATTGAAGAAAAATGTTTTTGGAGAGGTCCTTTCAAATGATTTGGGCATGTATAGTTGTGGTGAGAAAACCTAGAAATTTGAGAGTTTTGAAAGATGTTGAGAATTCATGGATGGCATTGTTACTATTATATTTCTTTTGTGCCAAAATGAATGAATGATTGAAAAATTTCTTATTTTATATACAAATGATGAATTTCATGGAATATGAGAATTTTGATCTTGGAAGTTGTTGTCCAAATGTTGATATAGTCTTATGATGACTAAATTGTTGGGAATGCACAAAGTATGGAAATGTTGCTACTCATTGATGAATTTAAATGAATATGTGGCATTGATAATTGTAGCATTTGCATATCCATTCAATTTTTTATTACAAATTTTGAATTGAGTTTGAAAACTTTTACTTTGAGAAAAGAAGGTTTGTGATTGAAACTTCATAGAATTGTTTTGGGGTAAATACGTTGGTAAGTCCGGATAGGAGGTGTAGATGAAATTGATTAAGTTGGCCCGAGTGTCCGGGGTGAAAGACCGAAAACACTCGCGGAGGAGATACCACTTCCCTTCCGATTAGCAACTGGCAAACTGGGGTTTTGGTAATGCTAGTTATACCTACTTGCAGACACCAACCTAGGAGTTGCCTGAATCTTATTTACCACCCCTTGAACTAAATTGATAATTTTTGAATTGTTGAGATTTCAAGTTGTCATTAAGCATGATGGTTTTCAAAGGACGAAAATGTGATTTCCTTTCAAAAAGCATAGCATGGTATGTGCATTTCATTTTGTGAAGCATGTATAAAATATATATACTTTGTTAAGAATTTCTTACTGGACTTTATGCTCACCCTATGAGATTTTGGATGCAGGAAAGGATGTGGTGATTCTGCCGAATTAGGGCGTGGATGTATATGTTGAGAGCGCAAGGTTCTTGTTTTGTTATGGTATATTTTGTTAGCCAAGGGCTATAATTGTATGGGTTCGAGAAACTATTTTTGTATAATCGGGCTTAAACCTTGGAATTTGTAAGCCCTTGAGGGTATTATTTATTTTTGGATTGAACGTTCTACATATTATAGATTTATGCACTAGGAATCATTGAATGTCTATTCGCATGTGGAATTATTTTGTATAAATTCCATGATCATGTAATGCAATGTGTTAGGGATTTATTCCGAGTTATCATAAGGAACCATGGTATTTGTACTATCTTTGTGCATAGATTTTGGGGCGTTACAAGAAGAAAGAGAAATAAGAGGAGAGGGGGATTGGAGAGTTATAGAAACCACCACTCCTTTGCTCCTAGTAGGAAATTTTAGAGAGAAAAAAATAAAAATGAATGTTTAAGGTTTTTAAATGATATAGATTATTTGATATTGATTTTTTAGAAATTTAAGTCCCCACCTCTTGCCACGTTGGCATGAGTAATTTTAAAGATAATGTTTTAAAATTCATAGCATTACTCATTTGAAAATTTTGTTTTAAAATCTCAACTCAAAAGTAATTATTGTGAGTTTATGGGGGATTATTCTGAGTCTACTTTAATGATTTGAACTATTCATATTGCAAAGTTAGTTGAATATATCATTTATGAAAGAAAAAAAGAAGAAGAAGAAGAAGAAGTTAATTGAATATTTGTAGACCAATAACAATATCACATTTTTTTGTAAGAAAATAAACGACTATCATGATTTTGATAATATTTTAAAAAATAATTAAAAGCCAATCACAAGGCTACAAATATATGATTAATCTAATATTTTATATAAATGATGTTTTGACAAACTCTATAATATAACAGCTCAGATCATTAAAATAGACTCAGAAAAGCCCCACGGACCTCACAACAATTGTTTCCTAGATCCCAACTCAAAGGAAAGTTTTATTTACACCCAAAAAATATTTATGTGAGCCCAATTTTTCAATACACCCTATTAAATTATTGAGGGTTATAATTTATTCTCAATACACCTTATTTTTTCCTCCAAATTACCTTTTTTAGGCATACCCAAATAACACAAATTAAAAAAATTCAAATTACTTTTGAAAAATCTTTCTTGTGTTCACGTACATACAAGGAATCTAGCATCGCCAAAGGCGGCACAGGCGAAGGAGGACGACAAAACAGAAGGAGATGGTGAACTTTGTGTTTGTACTTCCAGAACCAAACAAAGTGAATCTATTTGGTTCTGAAAGTCCGAACAATAGTGACGAAAAATGGGCTAAATATTCGCTTTTATGTAAAAAAATACAGAAATCAATAATTATATTTTGATATTTATGTGAATACTTACATTCTCTCTGATGGGTTGATTTAAAAAATTGTTTTAATTATTACTCTCATCCATTGTTTGATTTTGTTCAAACTTTCTTCTATTTGTAAGTAATAATATAATATAATAAAATAAAAAATAATGATGTGTATAATAATGGTGAGTTTTGATAGAGTAGATTAGAGTTTTGAAGTGAGAAAGAAAAAGAAAAGAAAATAATTAAAATTTAGGGGAAAAATAGGATGATATTTGAATAAGAAGAATACTTATAATTGATTAAGGTATATCATGATAAAAAAAATATATATATTTTATTTTAGAATTCAATATATGTTGTCCTTATAAATAAATTCACATTAATATATAATAGGAGTTAAAATTTTAAAATTTAAGTTAGGCCTACTAAAATGATTTTTGGGTTCAAATACAATGGCCCCAACTCAAAGCCTAATTCTTGTTTTAAAAACACCACTTCAATAGGTAATAGGTAGTGTCTTAAAAACATAAACATTAATTTAAAATCATATATCCAAAATATAAATTTACAAAAATAACACAAGTTTGAAAAATATATTTAAAATTATTTTTTATTTATTTATTTATTTTTTAAATGATGAGTTTAGGCTTTGTTTGGGAATTGACATTTGTAATGATTTAAAAAAAAAAAAAACATTTCTGAGATGAAAAAAACTTAATGTGTTTAGGAATAATTTTTTATAATTATCTTGAAAATCATAACTTGTTGCAATGTTTGACTTTTTAATTTTTTTAAGTAGGTATCTGTGGTTTGCTTATTTTTTATTTTGGTACTTTTTTTTGGACTTGTTTTCGCCTTTATTGAACTTTTTTTTTATAAAAAATTAAAAATTTTAAGTTTTTGGATCCAATTTGATGAGATGAATCAAAAAATTATTATTTTTTTAATTTCAAAAAAAAACTAGACTAGACAAAAAATAAGCCAAAATAATGGAGTTTTTTTTGGACTTATTTTAGCTTATTACATTTTTGTAAGACTTTTTTAATTTTTAAATTTATCTATACTAGTTGGACCCACCCGCGGAGCATGTGGGGTCGCGATGGAGTTATAAAATTGCTTTCAATTATTTTTTCTTCATTTTCATATAAGATAATTATAACGGTTCCGGGTTAGACCCGACCCTTTTCATACTCTTAGATTCGAGATTCAGTATCTTTAATTATTGTTTATGTCCTTTATCATCTTGTTGATAGTTGAGTTGAATTGTTA